AGCCCAGGCACAGCACCCGCGACCCCCTACTGGGGGACGTGGAACCAGGAGGGTCCCTGGGACTTGTTGACCAGATAGTCTAGGCAAACTGATGCGCTCTAGGTTCAGTGAAGGACCCTGTTTGGCTTTTGTGTTTTTATTTTGGTTTGTTTTGTTTATAAAAAGGTGGAGAGTGGCACTACCCTCTGTCCTCCACATGCACATGCAAGTAAACATGCACAACCCCCCTTAAAAGACACATAGCTGAGATCAGTCCATCTGTAGCCGTCCCCATAGCCGAGAACCAGTGCCCACTGTGAGGGCACCTGAGCTGTGCAGGCCAGCATTTGCTCCGCAGGTGCATTTTGCAATATATTCTGTATCTCTGTAATCATAAAGTGTTTTTGGTTTTTTTTTTTTTTTTTTTTTTTTTTGATTCTTGAGACAGGGTTTCTCTGTAAAGCTCTGGCTGTCCCGGAACTCAGTTTAGAACTCTAGACCAGGCTGGGCTTAAACGCAGAGATTCGCTTGCCTCTGCCTTCTGAGTGCTGGGATTAAAGGGATGCACCATCACTGCCTGCCTTCTGATGGGATCTTATATAACCCAGGCTGGTATGGAATTCAGACCTCAAATTTCACTTTGTAGACCAGGCTAGCTTCAAACTCAGAGAGATCCACCTGCCTCTGCCTCTTGAGTACTGGAATTAAAGACGTTTACCTACATACCAAACTAAGAAAAGTTTTGCAAAGTATATACAAGGCTAGGTGTAGGGGCACATGCCTGCAATCCTTGTCTATGTCAGGCTGAGGTAGGAGGACTATGAGTTCTAAGACCAGCCTGGGTCACCTAGAGAGACTGTCTCAAAAAAGAAACAAGAAGCTATTCTTTTTATGGCTTTGTTCTCAATTTTGATTTGCTTCTTTTAAGGTCTGAGAGCAGCTCCCACAGGACCATGGTGGGCCTCTTATCGGGGGGAGGCACTGCTATCTTGAGACAAAACTAATCCTCTCATCATTTCCCTCTCGTTCCCACAATTCCTCTTATCTCTTATCAGAACCTCTGATGTGACTTATTCGTTGTGGTGACTTAGACCCTCATTTCCCCAAATGTTTGTGGCTATGCACTTGTTACATTTGCCATTTACTGTGAGAAACAGGATAGGCAAATACTGTGGCAAGATGGATTAGTTGAGTGCAAAGCATTGCCCCTACCCTCCGTCAGTGCAGCCGTCTGAGGCTTTTCTGGAGGTTGCTATTGTTGACAGCTCCTAGCCCGAGGGCTGTCTTATCATGTGTTCATGGTCCAGGTCAGTACATTTTCTTCCTCTGTTACTCCATCCCACGTATAAGAAAATATTTTGCATTCTAGGGCGTCCCTGTGCCCGAGACTGCCCGAGTTTTCCTCCTAACGATTGGTCCTCCTTCCACTGGGTGGTTCAGCTCCCGAATCCCTTCTTAGCAGCTACACTTCAGGCTGTCTCTAGCACTTGGCGCTGTGGGTTGGGTTCTCTAGAGAAGAGGTTGAGTTACAAGGAGTTATTAGAGAATGCTTTCAGGCTCCATATCTCTGGGTGGAGGAAAAGAAACAGGACTACACAAAGAGTCAGGTTATAGGGCAGCCATGGCAGGGCACAGCTAGGCTCGCTGGGAGCTCTGGATGACCTTGCACTGGCCACTCCCTGTTAGCTGCTCTAGGGATGTGGGATCCTGGGCAAAGCACTCTCAAAAGCAGCAGCAGGAGCTGGAGGGCACAGGAGGATGGTCAAGTTGTGTTGCGCATTCCTTCGAGACAGTGTGCTCTTGACATCTACTCGGAAGAAACTTTTCTCACCAAGAAGGCTAATGTGCATCACCCCCACATTTGCCCACCATTCTCGTCCTGGCCGGAAAGTGGAGGTAAAGGATGCACGTTGTGATTAAGTACCCTTAGCTCCTGAGTAGATCTCAGCCGGACTGAAAGGCAGCCTCTCTCGCGTAAGAGGCGTGCAGCAGGAACCTTTGAACAAAACTCTAGAGGATGGGTTCTAGTCAGTGAAAATCCATCCTGCTGTATTGTTTGGCCAGAGCTAGAGAAACCAAAGACTAGACTGAGACCTCTCCAGGTTCACCCTAAAAATCGTGGTGCAGCCTGGCTTTCAGTAGGCGCTGCTTGCTGTTTGCTGAAGGGCTGGATGCCCTGCGACAAGGGGATTGCTTTTTCTCTCATAAGAGTGGCGGCCCACTTTATTATAGTGTTTTCTCTTTCTTTAAAAATTTATTTTTCATAATTTATAGTTTCCTAAAATTCTCCCCTCCATCTGTGTTAAAAATGTATGTTCTGGACCTGCAGTGGTGGCTCACATCTTTAATCCTAGCACTCAGGAGGCAGACACAGGTTGGCACCCAGCCGTGTCTACAGAGTGAGTTCCTGGACAGCCAGGGCTACACAGAGAAACCCTGTTTGGGGAAAGTGTGTGTGCACGTGTGTGTTTGTGTGTTTCAAGAGGGTAAAGTCTATGTTTGTCTCATATACCCTTGTGTCCTCAGCATCCCCAGAAGCCACAGACTGGCTTCCAGTGAATTTTCGTTGTACGAGTGAATGTGACGGGGAAGAAGGATTATTTCAGGAAAACGAAGGAGCAATAATCATTTTCTAATAGTGACTCATTGTTTTGGGGCCACTCTTGGCCCTTTTGCGTCTAAAACACGCATGAGTAAAGTGCACTGGCAAGGCTGTTAGCGTTGTTGATGTAACAATATTTTAATGCCACTATTTAGGGAATTCTGGGATGGTTTATGGTCCCCCTGGTAATGCTGCTCACATTTGGAGGCCCTCTCCCCTCTATGCTCTTGGTCTGTCCCCAGTGTTTCCCTACCAATGAACGAAGAGCCTTGAGAGAAGCGGCACTCTGCTCGTTCCTGCAGAAATCCGCCCCCCCCCCCCCCCCCGTAATAAATTTTCACACTCTACAGTGGAGTAGTTTCCGGTTGTGCCTCTTTTTTCAGGGTTTGCTGAAGCCTTGAAACAACTATCTGGCTGCCCCAAATCTGGCAAGCAGCCTTGCAGCGCACCCTAGCGGCCATTTATAGGGACGGGCGGCGCCAGCCTTTCCCGATGGCCCGTGGTCCTTACTGATCTTCGGCCTCCAGGATTCCAAACTGTTGGAAGTTGGACAGATTCCAGCCTGGGCTCCTGGGAGGATCGACAGAGCCCCGCCCTGGGCAATGGAGAAGGCCCCCGTCAAAAATGGTAAATGTCTAAATAGGAAAAGGTGATGCCTTGGATTCCCAGCCTTCCTAGGTCTGCCTCTCCTGTAAAAGGGCGGTCACACTCGGGAATCCCTCACCATTGTTTGTTCATCAAGATAGAACGCGATTCCCTTTTTTTAGTGGACATCTCCGTAACTTTCGACAAGTATATACCGCTCTTAACCCCTGCCATAATCAAGTGAGGAAACGTGTTCACCTCCCTGCCCTTTCTCCACCCGGATTTCTTGTACTTTCAATGTTTTCTAAAATTTTGCTTTTTCCAGGGAGAATGGCTAAACGTGGAATCATGTATAGAAATTTTTTAGTGATTCCTTTTACTCTGCTGTCTTTAAATTTTTAAAAATTCTATTTGTGGGCTGGAGAGATGGCTCAGAGGGTAAGAGCACTGGCTGCTCTTCCAGAGGTCCCGAGTTCAATTCCCAGCAACCACATGGTGGCTCACAAACATCTGTAATGAGACCTGGTGCCTTCCTTGCCAGCAGTACACTGGATGCTTAATAAATAAATCTTTAAAAAAAATTACAGAGACGCTAAAAATTCTATTTGTGTGTGGGGGTGTGTGGTGGGAGTCAGTTCTCTCTTCCATGTGGATACTGGAGACTGAAATCAGGATGCCAGGCTTAGCTGCAAGCACCTTTACCTGCTGAGCCATCTTGTCCACACCACTGCTATCTTATGAAACAAGATTACTTTATTAGTAACACATTTATTTTATTATTAGCACTAATATTATTACTGTATTAGTAGCACATTCAATTTGTAAACTTCAGTTCTCTAGCTGAAGCTGCTAGAGTTGTCCGGCAAGGACACTGGCTTTGAGGACAGCCATGAGCCTCCTGGGGAAGCCCGTCTCAGCATGATCCTGGACACACCACAATCACACAGACTCTGCCAAGGCCTGGTGAATGTCAGAGCACCACTGGCCCGTGTGTGGAATGGTGCATTTTCTCCCAGATGCTGTGCGGATCTACCACTGTCCATTTCTGTTCCCAAGGCTGTGACATGCTTGAGTGACTGCTGTCCGCTCTTCCTTCCTCATCTCCATGTCACACAGCAGCCGGCACGGTGATTTTATTTAAAACAATGACAACCTGATCATGTTCAGTTTAAATTACTTCCAAGATTTCCTTAAGGTAAACCTGGCCGGCAGCCCATCTGCCAAGCAGTGCACCTCCCATCAGCTGCCCAGTGCTGCTCTTTTGTGTCCCCATCAAGGGGGACAGGAACCAGCCTTCCTGTCTTAGAACCTTGATTCTATTTGCCCCCTCACATCCAGTTTGTTGGTTCTCTCACCTTGATCCATATTTACTCCTTCAGGGGAACCTGGTCCCTATCCCTATGTGAAACCTAGGTTCCCTGTTGTCTAACCTCAGAGCCTTCTGCCTTCCTATTTAGTGTCTAATTTGTGTTTACCCAACTGACAGCTGTAAGACCCACAAGGGCAGTGAGCTCATCTAGTTCACTGTAGTAAACCCAGGGCCAGAGTACACGGTTTGCATCAGTAAACATTTGTCAAGTGACAGAAGATAATAACTGATTTAAACACCTGTGATGTGCTACACTGTACAGTAGCCCCGTAACTGTCCCATATCATTTCCACACCCTTTACAACACGCATTTTCCCGAAGGAAACTGAAGACTAGGATGACCACGTAAGTGCCCCCAAAGTCTAGTTTCAGAACTCCACAGCATCACTGCCTCGCCATTGTCTTGAGACATGACTGAAACAAGTTCCTCTTGTTCTGTTAGAAAAAGGACCGAGCTTGAAGGCCAAGGTGTCTGTACACAGCTTGAACAAAATGAGGCAGACCAAACTCACCGTGGGCAGCCTGGGATTGGGCCTGATCATCATCCAGAATGGACCTTACCTCCAGATTAGTCACCTCATCAATAAAGGGGCTGCAGCCACTGATGGGATACTCCAGCCAGGTGACTGTGGTCTCCACGCGCCTCCTTCCCACCTGCCTTCAGGGAGTCAGCATGAGGATGTGACATTGAGAATTTCAGTTGCTACCACTTGTATACTAAATCAGTTACTCGCTATTCGTTTGGGTTTTAGTAACACTCTAGGCAGGCGTGTTCTCACTCTCTTCCTTTGCAGGTGAGGAAACTGGAGCTTAGTGGCAGAGCCTTCCTCGCTAGGTTCACTTTCATCCCGTAAGTGGGAGGCAAACAGACCGGGCGTCACTTCCCAGGTCATGACTGTGCATCAAAATCCCTTCTTTCCTGGGAGGTGCTAATCACAGCTAACCAGGAGACCCGTGATCTCCTTTCACCTTCTCAATAGCCCCAGGAGTATATTCTGCACTAAGTCACTATGCAACTATGTAGCTACCTAGAAGCTTGGCGGGTTATACCTGGGAGTCGGAATTTAAAACTCTCCTTCTCAGATCCCAAGGCCAAGGCTTTCATCAAGATCACCTAACTTCTCAGGTCTCTTGGGGGGGAGGGATGCATTTTCTCTCTAATGCAAGACATGTTTCCCCATATCAACTTTGGGCCCTGGTGCTAGCAGTGGGGGAAACACAGCGGGATGAAATCACTCCAGGCCATTTGTTCTGAGATGTGTCACTTTCTGTGACCTTGGCAAAGTCAATCTTTACAGCTTTAGTGACTTCGTCTACCTTGGGAGAATCTTGTCTCCGTTCTAGGTTGTTGGGATGTGGTAAAATATTGTGAAGCGCTTTGAAAGCAAGTACTCTAGAAATATTCTTATGGCTTCTATTTTGCTAGTTGTCTTCTAGAGATTAGCTTTTTTGCATATATGTGTGTGAGGCCACAGACTGATGTTAGGAGGTCTTCCTTGATCATTCTCTACATCATATATATATATATCATAAGGATTGTGGACAAAGGTAAGATTTGAATCCATGACCTCCTGGAAAACCCATGCCATGTTGCCAATGGCCTAATGAGCAGAAATGTAATTTCTTTTTTTTCCCTCTATGTTTTTTGTTTGTTTGTTTGTTTTTTGCTTTTTTTGACAATGGGATTTCTCTGTGTTTCTGTGTAGCTAGACTGCCTCTCCTGGAAAGAAGTGAGATTTCAATGCAGATATTCTGGGCACTAAATCTCTTCGTGAAAACCAGTTACTATTCAGTGTCTAGGTTTCAAAATCTGCTTTTCTGTCATTTTTGACAGCCATCATGGGATTTGCTATTTCCTTGACACCCACCAACCCTATTATTTCTTATTCACGTGTTCTCAAGTTCTTTGTCTTTGGTGTTTTATCTTGTTTTGCTAATTTGGTATTAGTTTTCTGTGGTTGTCTGATGTACAAAGTCTTAAGACACGACTACAGCTTTAAAATATTAATACAGCTTTGACAGTGGACAGCAGTCATGAGCTGGCTTCATATATTTAGTTAGCCATACCGACGCTCATTCATTCATTCATTCTGCATTTCCTTAATTCCTTTCCATGTCCAGGTCTCATGCTTCCTAACAGTGGAGAGCTAAACGAATGTGATCCTAACCACACAAGATGCATATATAGCTTCCATCCTAGTTGGAAGGAACAGAGACAAAGAAAACCTATCCTCCAGCAGTGGTGCGGCCGCTGCATAGTTGATTTAATACAGGCAGTCTAAACAGGCTTATACAGTGTCATTCCTACAGCCTGTTAAAGCAGGAGAAAAAGATGCATTATGAGGTTATTGTTCATAAATACCAAATTGGTGTTGATGAAAGGCAGTGTTAATATCTCCTGCCAGAGCAATCATGTTCCTACCTCGACACATTTGGCTTAAAGCCAGAATGGTCAGGGAATTGAGCTGTTTAATTTCTATTCTCTTGATAAAAGTCACCTTCTTACAACAATTAAGCAGAATGTCAAGCCATAGTTTTCATCTATAAACACCCTTTTAACATCAGACCCATGAGCTCATCCTAAGAGGGTAACTTTGTTACTATCATTAACGGCAGCAGGAAGAGCAGCTGTTTAAACAGCACAGGCTGCAGGTAGCTCTGAGAGAAACCTTGCTTCATTCTGAAGCTAGTCTCAGCATAGCTTTTGTTTTTGTTTGCCTTGCTTTTTGAGACAGAGTCTCACTGTGTAGCCCAGGCTGGCCTTGAACTGTCCCTCTTCCTGCCTCAGCCCTTTCCGTTGTGGTTTTGTTTTTTGTTTTTGCGAGGCAGTGTTTCCATGTTTCCACGTGTAGTCCTGGCTGTCCTGGAACTCACTTTGTAGACCAGTGTAGGAGTTGTGGGCAGGCCTGCTTTTTGTCCCGCCTGGCTCCCACACGGCTAGCTTTACACCCAAAATAACAACACACAAATTGTATTCTTTTAAACACTGCCTGGCCCATTATATCTAGCCTCTTCTTGGCTAATTCTCACATCTTGCTTTAACCCATATTTAGTAATCTGTGTAGCACCACAAGGTGGTGGCTTACCGGGAAAGATTCAGCATGTCTGACCTGGCAGCTGGCTCCATGGCATCTGACCAGAGAGGAGAGGCATGGCGATTGCCTCACTTCCTCCCAGCATTCTGTTCTGTTTACTCCAACCACCTATGTTCTGACCTATCAGGCCAAGCAGTTTTCTTTATTAATTAACCAATGAAACAACAGATAGATAGAAACACCTACATCAGATCAGGCTGTCCTCAAACTCTTAGAGATCACCTGGCCTCTGCCTCCAGGTGCTGGGATTAAAGGCCTGTGCAACTGCCCCCTGCCTCCCGCCCCCCTCCAGGCTTTTGAATACTGTTTTTACAGGCACCTGTGCTACTGTGCCCAGCTCAATATGTGACTGGCTTTGTCTTCATTTGCTTCTCAAAACCAATGCAGAAGCAGTCCTCAGACTTTCTAGAACATTGGAAAGGCAATTCTACTGGGATCTTACCCTAGAGAAATGTGCCCCCAGCCATGCTTGGACACTCCTCAGGACCAGTGTAACTCCTGGCTAGTCTGCAGTGGGATCCAGCACCAACCTCTCCCTCGCCCCCTCTCCCTGAGTTTGAGTTTTGCCTGTTTGGAATGAGGGTTACTGAGGGCTCCGAACCTCACATGCACATACAGGTAACCTGGCATTCTGTATCAGTTATAAAGTCCTGACAGCAATACAGGTATGAGGACATGCCAACACTGAGGGAACCATAGACACACAGAGAAGTTGGGACTGGGTAGGCTGTGCTCACTGTGATGGAGGGTACAGCACAAGGAGGAGGAGTTAGTTCATCTCAGTAGGAGGTCTCTGTAAAGGAGGAGCCAGGCTGCGGTCATCCTAGGGGAAGCTGCAGGTGCTAGTGTTTGCACACTGGTCAAAACACTCAGACTTGGACCAAAGGAAGGCTTTGCCACGTCCATGGGTATTGGGGTTCTTGACAAGGCCTTGCTTGTATTGGGATCCTTGACAAAGCCTTGCCTGTGTCAAAAATACACTCAGGACTTCATCTGCTCCCACTGAGACATACTGACAAGACTTCCCCAGACTGAATCTGTCCTTCAAGTGCAAGCCTTCTGTATTCCTCCTTCTGGGCTTGGCTGAATGCTAGTATTCATGCTCCCTATTGCAAGGAAACAGTATTGTTAAGGCACTTAATTTAGGGCAGTATCTGACTGGATTGCCCCAAAATCTGAAAAACCAAGCTTGGAGAATGGGGAGAGACCAAAGGATCCAGAGATTTGGATGTTCCGGTCATCCCAGTGCAGGGTCAGACCCAGACAGGACTGCTGGATGACCTGGTTGAGTTTACAGATCTTTATTGTAGCTGGTGGGAATCAGGGGTGGGATGGGTTAGGTCCATACAAGTGAATAATTGGTCCTTTTAGTTTTCATTTTGGGGACCTAGGTTTTTGTTGCTAGGGTATTTATCTCTTTCTGCCTGCTGAGTGCCCAGAAGCCCTCTGGTCGACAATCACAATTCCCCACACAGAGTGTTTTACATGAGGGGGTCCTGCTCTCAGTATTCTGAACCAATTCTGCAGGTTGTGGTGGGATATGCTGAAGAGGTAGAGGCAAGAGGAGCACAGTTTCTGCATTACATATCATAAGCATAATCAACAGAAGTTAATTATCTAATGTTATATACAGTAATTCGGTCAGTTTTCTTTAGGACAGGGCAGAAACTCCAAGAGAAGCCTCATGCTTAATTCAGGTTATTTGCTGTGGAGGGCTTGGTGATCCCAGGCAATCAGAATGGAAAGTGGCTTACTTTTTACTAGTTATAGCCGCTCATTTGACAGTGGTTAGAATCTTAAATCTAAATGGCTTGGGTTTAAAATGGTTTTAGCCTTTTACCAGAGGCGCTAAGAACTTACCAGCTAAGAACTTCAGAAGTGTCTCAAAAATACTATTAAATGCCTATTAAAAATTAGGGAAGGCATCTTTATCATGCTGAGAACATTCAATACTGGAGGAGAATGTCCTTAGTAAATTAAGATGGAAGCCAGGCTTTGGTCAGAATAAACCATTATATAAATCCATAAACTATTTCAATAAAGCCACTGATCAGTATGGCTCTTTTCAACCCATTATCTTAATTGAACTGTTTTTCCTTTTTCAGGTGATGTTCTGGTTAGTGTTGGGCATGCCAACGTGTTAGGCTATACCCTCCGTGAATTGTTAAAGCTTTTGCAAAATGTCACCATAGGAACAGTGCTACAAATCAAGGCTTACCGAGACTTTATTGACATACCCCAGGAGTGGCAAGACGTGTATGATTTAATCCCCGAGACCAAATTTCCAGTCCCATAGTAAGTAGTTTACTTTAGAGCGACGCTATGAAACCCAGGCCTGTGACGTGCAGGGTTCTGGTTTAATGTGGGAATCATGAAATGGTACGAACCATGGGAGGAGGGTTGGTGACACTGCCGTGGCTTAGTGAACTACAGTCTGCAAAGAACAGTCTGCAGGACCTCCCGTGAGGGAATGTTAGTTATAAAGGCAGCTTGGAGTTAGGAACTCAGTTAGCAGTCAGTGATTGGGTTCTCTATCTCCAAATCTACCTGCACTGTCACTGCAGTCTGTCTAGTCAGCCCTAAAGCCCAGGTTGAGATGGACCGGAAACTGGCTTAGTAGGTAAAGAGCTTTCTGTGCTTAGACCCTGGCACCCACGGAAAAGCTGAATGTGGTGGAATATGTCTAACTCCAGAGGTGGCAGGGAGGACAAAAGAGGGCCCTCAGAGCTTGTTGGTCAGCCAGCCAGGCTAGCCCAATTGGTGAGCTGCCAGTTCAGTGAGAGACCCTTTCTCAGAGGTGGAGTGCGATAGAGGGATACCTGCCATCAGCCTGTCCTCCATAGGGGCATGCGCACACACAGAACTGAGAATCGCACTTCCTCTTCTCTCTTGCATTAACGTCTGGATCCTTCTCAATAGCAGTTGTACCTGTCTTAGGAACAGTGTCTATTGCTATGATAAAACACCATGACCAAAAACAGTCTGTAGAGGAAACGGTTTCTTTTGCTTATACTGCCACATCACAGTCCATTGTTCAAAGGAAGGCAGGGCAGGAACTGAAGAAGAGGACGTAGAGGAATGCTGCTTACTGGCTTTCGCAGTTTGCTTATACCATCTAGAACATCTGCCCAGGGGTGGCACCACCCACAGTGGGCTAGGCCCTCCCATACCAAGGCTTATGGAGACATTTTTCTCAATGAGAGACCCTTTTTCCAGATACGTCTAAGTTGGTGTCAAGTTGACGACACCCAGCTAGCACATGCCCTTTTATAAGACTCCCTTCTAAGTAAACACTAACTCTACTCCTCTTCCTGCTCTAATCTGATGAAGAAGTCCTAGAGCTCTATTTCCTCAGGAGACACACATCTCAGGTACTCCAATATAGCCGTTCTCTCTTCCCGGATCACCTGCTGCCTTCAGATGGCGGTTCCAATGGAACCTGCCTTTATTTTGCCTGCCCTTTAAGCAGCATCAGACTCTTCATAACTACCCAATTCTTTTACTCCTGTCCGTGACATATAGTCCCAGTTTTTTGTTTGCTTGTTTGCTCTCTGTAGCTTTGGAACCTCTCTTGGAACTAGCTCTGTAGACCAGGCTGCCCTCGAACTCAGAGATCTGCCTGCCTCTGCCTCCTGAGTGCTGGGATTAAAGGCATGGGCCACCTGGCCTATTCCCCAGTTTTCTGTGAGATCAGTCTTCCCTCTTTTCCTTTTACCTCTGGGTTCTTCCTCTTGGTGTTTAACCGACTCGAGTTCCTCAAAGCTGTCTTTGGCTCTGCTGTTTCCTAGGCCGTCTTGGTGCCCGTGGTTCCTGTTACTACTCATTCACTGAGCACTTGCAGTCTATTATTTCCACTCACCTTAGATCAGCCACACATCTCCATTCAGATGTATGTCCCCGCCCCCCCCATTTATCCTTGAAATCAAAAGCCAGTTGTATTAGTTTATTTTTTCTCTCCATTTATGTGACCAAAAGACATGCCAGAATAACTCTTGATTTCAGAGGGTTTTGTCAATGGTCATTTGTTCTCATGTGTTTTGGCAGAACATGGTAATGGTGAGACATGTGTGGCTGAAGAGCTTCACTTCATGATGGCAGAGACCAGGGAAGGGCGAGGGACAGCATCTCTCAGAGAACATTTCCCCAGTGGCCTATTCCCTCCAGTCAGGCTCTACTCCTCAAAGCTTCCAACTCCCCAAATACCACCAGCAGCTTGGACCAACTGCTCAGCCCAGAGCTCTTAGGGTACATTTCATACCCAAACCACAAGCCTATTGGGATCCTAGTGGGATAGTCTGCCTAGTTAAAGAGTCCAAATTTTAGGGTTATGCTTAATTTTTCTGTCTCTTCTATCAGCCCCTCAAACAAGCACTAAGACTTGCCACTACTTGGTATCTCATCACAATACTCACTGTCTCTCCCCGCCCTCCCCAGCTACCATTGTTCCAAAGTCACCATTTGATCTCTCCAATCCTGTCCTTGATTCTGGTTCACTTTTTACACAGGATGACCTTTTTACAATGCAAATATGACCATGGCATATTCCAGGTTAAGAACTTTAGGATCTCTTGTTCTTAGGATAAATACCAAAGTCCTTTCACCGTTTTTAATGCCACTCTGTGGCCTGGATGGGTACCATTCCAAGTTCATTTCATTAGGCCCTCCCCATCCCTCTAGTTCTCTGGGTTTTCAGCTTTTCACACTCGCTGCTCTTCTGTCTATGCCATGCTTACACTGTGTTCATTTCTACAAGGCTCAGTGTAAACTTTCTGAGACAGGATTTCTCTGTAGCTTTGGTGCCTGTCCTGGAACTAGCTCTTGCAGATCAGGCTGTCCCCAAACTCACAGAGATCCGTCTGTCTCTACCTTGAGCTTGCCGGGATTAAAGGCGTGTGCCACCACGGCCCGGGGAAAAGTCGCTTAAACTCTTAGAGAGCTATAACCACAGGAGCAGGAGCACCAGGATGAATAAGGTCAGGGCCTAACAGCAAAGTGAGATACCAGTGTCCAAGCATCATCCATGTTTCAACAGTCAAGCCACAGACAGGAGCGAGCTCGAAAAGGAAAGCCTTGAAAACTTGGTGACAACAGATGTGGGTTAAGAGTGCTGTACAGGGCTGGAGAGATGGCTCAGTGGTTAAGAGCATTGCCTGCTCTTCCAAAGGTCCTGAGTTCAATTCCCAGCAACCACATGGTGGCTCACAACGACCTGTAATGAGGTCTGGTGCCCTCTTCTGGCCTGCAGGCGTACACGCAGACAGAATATTGTATACATTAGAAAAAAAAAAAAAAAGAGTGCTGTACAAGGGCTGGAGAGATGGCTCAGAGGTTAAGAGTCCTGGCTGCCCCTCCAGAGCTCCTAAGTTCAACTCCCAGCAACCACATCTGTAATGAGATCTGGTGCCTTCTTCTGGTGTGCAAGCATACATTCAAGCAGAGCACTGTATACATAATAAATAAATCTTAAAAAAAAAAAGAGTGCTGTGCAAAGCCCTATCTGTGACTCACAACAAAAAGGGAGAATGGCAGCATGTGCAGTATTGTCTAGGGGAAAAGAAACCTCGGAATTACTTATGGCTAGCATGCTGAAGAGTCTTGAGCTCACCATCGCCTGACTGCCCCGTAATGGGTTATCTTTCGTTATTGCCGTATAACCCATGAGAATAGAGTTCGAGGGCCAGGTTGAACCTGTCGCTCAAGGCCCAATGAAATTAGTTCATCCTTTAAAGCCTCACACGAGTCTAGTCAGTGGTCTGCTTTAAATCTTAATGTTTTCAGCAGGGCGGTGGTGGCTCACGTCTTTAATCCCAGCCCGCGGGAGGAGGAGGCAGGCGGATCTCTGTGAGTTCGAGACCAGCCTGGTCTACAAGAGCTAGTTCCAGGACAGGCTCCAAAGTTACAGAGAAACCCTGTCTTACCACCCCCCCCCCCAATCTTAACATTTTCTTTTAAAGTAGTGTGAAATAATTTAAGGCAGGAATTATATTTATGATTGGGGAAAAAATTAAAAGGTATTTTAAAATGTGATCCTGAGCCTTTAACAGACATCTCTCCAGGTACTTCTAAAAAGAGAGAAACTTCCCAGCACCTGGGAGGCAGAGGTAGGCAGATCTGAATGTTTTAAGCCAGAGATACGATTGGGTAAGCTCTTCAGTAGTGGGGGAAGTGTGTGTGGGGGCAGCCTTGTCAATGAATAAGAAAGTACTGACTTATGTCTATAGATTATCAAAGAAAGCTATAAAATGTTTTGTTAGGCGACTTCTTATCACTCCAGTTCCAGCAGATGTGACAACCTCAACTGACATCCATGGACAGCAGGATACACATGGCACACATATATACATGAGGTAAACACTCATACACATAAAATAAATGAACCTAAAAGTATTCAAGCACCCAGAATCCATTTAGTCAACACTTGATGATGCAGAAAGTAATGAAGGTAATTTCTATTTTTAGGTTTTCACAAAAAAGAAAACAATTGCTTTATTTTCAATTTTGTGTGTGTGTGTGTGTGTATGGGTGCGTGCGTGCGTGTCTACAGAAGCAAGAAGGTGGCACAGGGTCCCCCAGAACTAGTTACAGGCAGTTGTGAGCTGCCTTATCTGAGCCATCTCTCTAGCCCTAAATATTTTATTTTTTAAATTTACAAGAGAAAGTAGTTTATAAGATTCTGTTAGGGAATTCTGTTAAAACATTAACAATATATTGCATTCACTCTTCATTTTAGCACACCAAAGAAAACAAAGGAGAAGGCAAAGGATGAGCCTTCTCCAAGCAGAGATGACCATGAAGATGTCGTTTTAGATAAAAGACTGAAGTATTACAGATATCCTCGGTCAGTCTGGAATCACCCTGTGAGGACACCGATATCAATCTCCACAGAATGGCATGGATATAAAAAGAAGGACCAAACTATTAGTGTTGGTAAAGATGTTAATTGTGATGTAGTAATTCACAAAGACAACAAGACAAAACTGAGGGCCCCTTCTCCATACTGGACAATGGTGGAGCACGACAAAGTCATCTCCTCCTCATCCTCCACAGCTTCCTCCAACTCAGATGCCTTTTGGCTGGAAGACTGTGCACAGGTTGAACAGGGTGAAGGTCAGCAGGTATCAAAGTTTGGTTAGGCATTGGTTTGCAAATCTGTGGCCATAGGAATTTTTAAATATCCAATTTTTGTGCCTTACTATGTATAGGTTTGTAGAATTCCTACAGCTCTTTCAGGACAGTAGAAAAAAGCCTTCGTAGACTTTCTTCAGGTAATAGCTTAGGACTTCTTCCCTGTGGTCTAGCAGGCTCCACAGATATGTTCCCAGAATCACACCATCATTTACTCAGCTTTTTAACATCAAGTACAAACCCAATCACCAGAACGCTGACCACTTGTCTTTTAAGGTGAAGTTTTCTTTGCATGATTCTGGCCTGGTTGTTTACCTTACAATCCTGTTCCCAACCTTTAAGTGACACTTTTACTTGGAATATTGGGCTGAGAATTATTTAAAGGAGACAAGACTGAAACAGGTGAGCTAGAGACAGAGAGAAAAATACTGTCACAGAGAAGGAAAGTCAGACATAAATGAAACATACCTTCACAAAGGGGGGCAAAACCCAGACTGTTTGATTGTTGTTAGCCACAAACGAGCAAGTTTAAACTTGTTTTTATTTTAAAAAGACCAATAATCTTGAATTTTTACTTTCAGAGCTGTTTAGCCTCAAAAGTTCCTGAAATTTCTTAATTGGTGGAATTGTTAAACTCAATTATTGTACTACTGTCTTCTTTAAAGCACTGAAACCAAAGATCTCAGCATCTACTAAACAACTGCTGACTGTCCAGAAAGAAAAACACTCACACACAATGAAAAACACTTACACACAAAGCTTTATTTGTTTTAGGGAAGCTGGGAATAACTACCCATATTTATACTCTTAAGTACTTCATTGAGAAAAATGTCGAATGTTAAATTAAGAGACCTGACTTTGATGTGTTTGCTGGTCTGGGTTGAGAAAACACTTGTTAGAGCTCGTCAAGAAAAGGTGTGTGTCCCAAGTTTCCACTTGCAGCCATTGACTTCTTGCCAGAAACAAACTGTTTTGCAGCCTTAAACAAAACACAGAAAGTTAAATCATGCTATTATCAAGTAGTAAACCATGTATTTTGAGTTTAGGAACAAGACATTCTAAGTCCGCAATTCTATAATACAGCTTCATAAGACTATCCATAAATTAATACTGAGATGGTCAGTGTTTTATTCTGAATGTGAACAACATCACGTGTCCAACTAAGCAACCAGGAGGTCTCCAGATGAGGAGAGTTCTGAAAGAAAAATAATAAAAACCCACTGACAGTCAAAACCAGGACAGAATGGCTGCTGCTAGGCTGCACTTTGTTCTGTATTATGATGGCAAAGGCCTGAGTCGACCAAAATACCCTCACTGCTGACAGTAAAGTAAAATTATGTCTTGGGGTTCTTTTTATTTTGGAAGAGGGGCTGTTGGTGGTAGTATTGAGAGGACATAGTCCAAGTTGCTTGAAGCTCACAATCTTCTTGCTTTAGCCTCCACAATGCTGGAGGGCTCCAGGCATCTGTTACCATGCCTGGCTGCCCTGGTATTCTCCATGTCATTATTTCAAATTCAAAGGTTATATTAAGTGTACTAGCACAGGGCAGGACTAGGTGGAGCAGGAGCTCCTATGTTACCCTGGTTAGCTTTTCTGATGCAAGAGAGGTGGTGGAAGTGGACGAGCAGGGATTCACACAGCCCTTACACATAAGTATACTTTTTAGATTATGTTCAGATGAGTCTGAGGCCAACTGAAATGCAGGCACGGTCAGCATCTACAAATAGCCCGTCTCTTCTACCCCACTGTCAGCACACAATGGGATGCTAAGACATCTACAGTAGAAAAGGGAGTGATATCCTTACTGTGGAGTTCACCTTAGTAGCTTTTTTGATTTTTTTGATTTTTCAAGATAGGGTTTCTCTGTGTTGCTCTGATTGTCCTGGAATTTGCTCTTAGAGCAGGTTGGCCTCGAACTCAGAGATCTACCTGACTCTACTTCTCAAGTACTGGGATCAAAAGAATGTACCACCATGCCTGGTTGTAACAAACAACTCAATCTTGTAGGGAAAAATAATATTTAAGAGGGGGCGAGGAAAACTAGCAATAGAAGGTCTTAGGCTGTAGAAAACCATGAGACCCTACATGGTAAAGGACTGGCAAGGGGCTTCTTGTGGGTGAAGGAGCAGCAAACAGCCATGAAACCTGTGAGGTTGTTTATCTGATTCCTGACCACCAACAGTTTAAGATGGCTCAACCTAAAGGGCATTTCCTTGAATAAGAAGACAAATGCACCCACGTTGCTGGGGAGGCTGACTGTGGACATGATGGAAAGAGTTCTCTTGCTCTCCGCACTAACACAGGTCCCAGGGAAGCTTATGCAGTTCTTCTGAAAGTGGGTCATTAAGGTTAAGCAATCATTTGCTTACCTTTATGATATCAGCATCAGCCACAGAGTCAATTTGTTGAAGGAAGGTGGGTGGTGGCATATAAGAGTCAGCAACTAGAGCTTGTGACCCAATCTCACTCAGGAGACCCTCTGAAGTCTCCACAGACATCAGGTATCCAGCTTTCAGCTTGTTCCTGTCCAATACAAGGCAGGAATCAGTTTTATATTCTAACAGCAAGATAGTAAACGCACCTGAAACAGGCTAAGAGCCTGCTGTACTTCTTTAGTTCAGCAAGGTCTTCACTCACATCACTAATCATCAGGAAAGCTGTACACAAAACATCGCTCACACTCAACAGGCTGCCTTTTGATTCTGGAGTATAGCTTAGACCTATGCAAACTTTAAGGTGAGTTTTGATCCTGAAGCAACTTTTAAGTTATGAAAAAGAATGTACTACTTGTTGCTACCTTTTTTAAAAATAGGGTTCCTACATAGCCTTGTCTGGCACTCACTATGGCTGCCTACCTCTTCTGCTCAAGCAGTAAAGGTGTGCACTTCATGTCTGGCTATGATTATATTTTTATTTAGTTATTTTTATTTTATTTTTTTCCAGGCACTTATAATAAGGAAAAATATTTACTCTTAATGCACCACCCACTTGACTGACAATTACACACACACAACCACACACACACACACAACCACACACACACAACCACACAACACCAGATCCCATTTCTCCACCAGGATTTATCTCAATGAGGGAAGGGTATGATGGAGAGAGCAGGTAGGAAAGTATGGTGCAATATGATGACTTCTATGCCCTATAGCTTAAATATGGATGGATACAAAAGCTTAATTTTTTTAATAAAACAGACAAGCTCAATTCACAATTATGCCATAAAGAAATTGCTATTCCTTATAAACATCTTCAAAAGGCAACTGAATTATCTATACTGGAAATGAATTATTGGGGGTAAAGGTGCTTGCTGCCAAACATAATGACCCAAACTCAGTCCCTGAAACCCACACAGCGGAAGGAGGGAACAACTCCTCCACGTTATCTTCTGACCTCCACACACGTGAGTCCATGCATACAAAAAGGAAAAAAAGATGGGGCTGGAGAAATGGCTCAGTGGTTAAGAATACTTGTTGCTCTTGCAGAGGAAATGAGTTTGGCTCCCAGCACCCACATAATGGTTCACAACCACTGGATCCAGGGGATCCAACACCCTCTCCTGACCTAAGGGCATCAGGCATGCATGTTACGCATATACATGCAGGTAAAAACTCATACACATAAAATAAAAAAATTAAATATAAAAAAAGAACCATCAGAAGGAAAACAAGGGTCATTTCTGTAGTGCTGGGAATAGAATGTCTTGTACATGCAAGGCAAGTCTCCACCACTAAATTATAGCCTTTCTAATACTATTCTTTACTTTTCAATTCTTTTTTTTTTTTTTTTTTTTTTTTTTTGGTTTTTCAAGACAGGGTTTCTTTGTAGCTTTGGAGCCTAGCCTGGAACTAGCTCTTGTAGACCAAGCTGGTCTCTAACTCACAGAGATCTGCCTGCCTCTGCCTCCCAAGTGCTGGGATTAAAGGCGTGCGCCACCACCACCTGGCCTACTTTTCAATTCTTATGAGTAGACAGTATTGTCTTTTTAATCAGCTTTTAAGTAACTGAAGCATAACATACATAATTAATATAGAAACTTACTTGGCAGCTTGGACATCTGCACTGGAAAGGTTTCCTTGAGCAACTGCTTTAACTTGGTTGTAGGCAGCCTTGATAACCTATGGTACACAAGTGAAAACTGGTCATCAGTTGACAGAGCCTGGGGCTCCCAAGGTAATCAGTGTGCCTGTAATGAGGCAAAAACACAAGAGGGAAGCCTAGTATCCACTGTGAATTTTGTGGTCACCATGTGCTCCTTAGAGTCCCTGTCCATACAGAGTTGAGGGATTCATGTGAAATGCTCTCCTGATGCTCCTATGTCTGAACCCGGGCCCAGCTGGTGCTACTCTGAGAGCATTTGGGACACTACATAGTGAACAGACAAGGCTACTGGGGCTGGGCCTGAAGGGATCCAGCTCCTTCTGTTCCTGTTTACTGCATCTTAATCTAGAGGAACTCCTTCACTACACCTTCCTTTCTACGACAAACTGAAACTGAGCCAAAAGAAAGCCTTTTCCTTTAGATGCTGTCACAGCAATTAGAAATGAAGCCGCACTTATACACACATACATAATATATAAAGACACAACTGATAAGTCTCCATGCAGCCAAGCTTCTTACAAACCTTGAGTGGCATAGGCAGAACCTGGCTGAAGAGGCTGCCTCCTCCTCAAGATAGCACAGACTCCATGTTACTGTTATTTACTAGGAACACACGCAAGCATTAACTTGCCAAGTTTGCACACGCTCACCAAATATATTAGGATCTGATCCAGGATTTTTTCCACCTCAATCCTGACCATTCTGGACCTGTGGCTTATTCTCTATAACCACTTAAGTTCAAGATTTTGATTTCCCTTCCATATCTGTTACCCATTTCCATGGCCGTTACAACCCCAGACTTGAACATAACCTAGAACTGCCAAGGTTACACAATTCCCTCAGAGCCTCCAATTTCAAAGCCCTGGCCTCACCCTCCCACTTTATCAAGATCTCTAA